TTTTTTGGCAATCTACATTCAGAAACATGAAATTTAACAGCCAACCCACTATCCAAAGCGCCACATAAATGGTTCCATATCCTTTGCGTCATACTTTGCTCTACACATCAGTAGCAAAAGCAACAGTATGGGTAAGTGGCATAAACAGAAAGGCTACAACATTAAAGCACATAGGATAAGTGATGACAGTTAGCAAATATGGAAAACTTGGGTGGGTGCATCGGCCACAAACTGAAAAAGAAGCGTTAATGCATTCTAGAATGGCTGTTTTACCTCCACCAAAACATATGGCGTGAAGACATAAAGGAGTTATTTCAAATGGTTGACACAGACTCATGAATGGAAACAAAGGGAGGGGGATGCAACCGCACAGTTGATGGTTCAGTAATAGGACATAGGGAACAAGAGACCATGGTAAGAGCACAAGACCACCACGATGAGTTAGTTCTCCAGGTTCACAGGGCACAATGCAGGATTTAGTGGGATTGGTTGAGGGAAGATTTAAAGATTAAAACTAAGAACCTAGAATCTTACCTTAATAGTATTAAAGTTGGCCGTTGTTTGAACAGCCAAGCGAACAGACTATATTGAGTAAAAAATTTGCAAAAAACAGAGAGAGGGCAGGAAAAGAACAGAAAAATACACCAGTCAAGAGAATGTCACAAGAGGAGTTACAAGAACCAGACTGCTCTTGTTGTTCTGTAATCACAGTCACCAAACATCTCTGTGGATGACATACTGGTCAAACAAGAGCCTGCATAAAAACTAAACATGCATCAATCTCAATGACCCAAGATTAGACGACATAATAGATTAGATTTAAAGCATTTCAAATTCAGCATGCTATATCACCTTCCATGGAGATGCACCTTTGGAATCTGCTTCATCCTGTGAAATATATACAATAAATAAATAGAATCAGTTTAATAAAAAAAATATATATATGATATTCATGTGTATGTTTCATGCAGACACCCCAACTGTTATAGAGACAAGATGAATGTATAAAACAATAATGACCTTGCCAGGAGCTGAGCCCAGCATCTCTACTTGCTGATGGTGGGATGAAGGGGAGGTGTGATGAAGGAATGGAGGGTC